TGGAAATACTTGTAATTAATATGACACTGGGCAACTCTTCTGAAAGTGAAGAGGAAGATCTTATTCCACTATCAGATTGATATAAAAATTAAAAGGTCCTTTTCAAGACCAAAAAATGCTGATAAAGAGCAGTCAAATCAAACTTATATCTAAACTACGAATAAAATATTTAGTATATAAATATATACTAAATGTTAATACCATAAATAGAAATAACCACAAATCTTCTAATCCGAATACTGGTATTTTGCATAAAATCGTACTTACTAAACCTTTATTGTCTGGTACTTCTTAACTATTCATAAAAACAAACATTTTCAGCCTCAGTCGAGGTCTGCTTCAGGTTAAAAGGACAATCAAAATGTTTGTTTTTACAAATAGTTAAGAAGTACTGGACATTAAAGGTTTAGTAAGTATGATTTTATAAAAATAACCATATAAATAAAATTAGATCATATAGTAGTTGTTAAATTTTTTTATATAAAAAATTAATGCAATTAATGGAAAAGTTATGCTGCCATCTAGTGAGAAAAAGTAAAATTTATATAATGCCTGACATAAGCTAAAAATGCCAACATCATTAGGGAATGTGCTTATTGGTTTAACTGAAACAATAGCATGCATGACATTGCTTTCAAGTTGATTTTTTCCATAGATAGACTATACAAATCAATTTCAAACAATTTGTTTTTTGACTAATAAAAGTAAAACATTTGTTACAGCAAGAAAGAAATTACTTACATTACGTCCATGAAAAAATATATCTTGATAATTATTATAATAAATCTATATCATATTATATCTATTGTAAATAATTATAGTAAATATTTATTCATTATTTTCAATAACAAAAAAAACAAAAAGTATAGTAGTGAATGGCAAACTTCATTCACATATACATAAAATCTAAAAAACAATTAAAAAAACTGCATAATAATTAGAAAAAACTTACCAAACAGACCATAAAAATAGCAAGAGGAAATGGAAAAAGGAATCCTGAGAGAATACTGAGAAAAATTGATCCTGGAATTGCAAATGACTGTAAACTATTAAATGTTAAGGAATAAGTTATAAAAGCTTCATCAATTTTTAAATGGAATCATTAAATATATATATATATATATATTTAATGATTTTAACTGTATTGTTTAATGATATTATTTAATGATGTTAACTGTATATATATATATATATACAGTTAACACCAGTATAATGTTATGGTAATTAGGTTCCACAAAAATAGGATTACTGAGACTTGTATTATATATGAAATTGGGTTTACATTCCAAAATTATTTTCTTAAATATAAATTTTATGTATTGTTTTATTAGTTTTATTTAATTCAGAAAATTTCATTTAACAAAACTTGAATCACAAAATAAAAACAAACTTATTAAAATTCATAAAATAAAGAACTGTACTTAACAATCTTTCATTGAACACAAGAAATAAATTTTAGTCTTCTTCACTACTATCTTCCAAACAACATTTCACTGATATTCTTTATTTGCCATTGTCCAGATGTCTTCATTGCATGAAATCTTTTGGACATTGCTATAACTTTCAACTTCTTCAGATTCTTCTGCTAGTTTAGTTTCCAAGAAGTCAATTATGATAGTCTGATGAGTGCTTTGTTACAATTGTTTTTGAAGATCATTGTGTGATGCTAAGCAAGATTGCCATGAAAAATAAAAAGCTTTTCATCATTTAGAGAAAACCTTTCACCATATAGGGAAAAATGCACAATCTATATTAGCAAACTATACTGTAGTAACTGAAAGAACATTTACTAAAATAAAGATAAACAGATGATTTTATATGAACTTTTATATTGAAATCACAATGTATAAGTACCATGTTATACAAGGATTGCTACAATTTGTGAATTGCATTATATAAGTAGTGCATTTTACAAGGGTTGTCTGTATTACCAATATCATTAATTTTTATGTATTGGTACACAGGGCTTTGGAGCAGAGCTGGAGCATGGAGCAATGGAGCAATGGATTTTTACTCGGAGCAGGAGCGGAGCCGGAGCACGGAAATTTGTAATGCTCCACTGCTCATATATATATAGAAGCAGTGGAGCACTACAAACTTCCGTAAAAGTAAATAAACATATATTTATTTAATATTTGAGACAGTGAAAATGGAAGTGGCATAAGTTGTAATATTACAAATGTCTCATGTGAAAGGTGGGAACTTTTCTCTCTAGTCTCCACTATCCCCTGACCAAGCTATTCCTTCCCCTTCGTGATCCCCCAGTTCTCTGAATTCTTGATGATTGCAGATGTGGAGTTAAAGCTAGATGCTGCAGCTTGTGGAAATAGAAATTTTCTTGCCATCAATGTACAGTAAAACCTGTTAAGATGTTCTCGTCTACGATGTTAGAATGTGTATGGGGACATGATTTAGTTCAACCACTCTGACGCTTAATAACTAATTCCTGTGTTAAATCATCTGACTCCGAATCTAATCACTCTGACCACAGAAATTATTAGGCTTTAAACAGGATGAACAAAATCATGCCCCCCCACACAGTCTAACATCCACACATATAGAAAAAAAACCTTGAATCTTTTGCATATCTCGAAATTTCAAGGTGTCCCGCGTCCAAAAACAAAAATTTGGGAGGGGTCATTTTTTGAGCAAGCATTACACTTTTCCTCTGTTATATATAACAGCCAGAAAAGTAAAAATTATCGAATACATATTTATATATTGACTGTGTCATTACTTAGAGGAGTCTTTTAGCTTTGGAGTAAAAAGTTTCTACGTTCTATCTTTATTAGAACTCTATTTATTGAAACTTTTATTCTGAGGTTACATGATGACATCAGAATTTTCGGGTCTCTTTCAACAAGTCTGCCCCTGGTCGGAGTCGGATGGTAAGGAAAAGTCAGAGTCGGAGTTGGTAGATTTTTACGCGACTCCACAGCCCTGGATATTTGTTTATGTAAATTTTATATTAAATTAATTTATTTTATTAGTTTAATTTGTAATTTTATTATTATATTTGTAATTTACTTTTATCAATCATTAAATTTACTGTAATTTATTTTATCAAAAATATAATTAAATAATCTAAATATATATTATTTGCATATTTTAAAAACTCATGCATAAAATAACTATCATTTTATCAAATATAAAATTATTATTAAATAACTTTTTATAAATTTAACAGTTTAAGGATACAAAATATACATCACAAAATATCCTCCTAGAACTGTAAAAAAATAGCGATCCTTGTAATGTGACAAAACCTTTCCTAAATTCTTAGCATCATCAATATTCTGTGGTAATTTCATATATTGAATCTCATCACTAACAAAAAAAAAATTTTTAATTAATTAATATAAAACTAAGAATTAAGACATTAAATAAATAAAATACCAGTTTCAATACACATATACAGTCAAACCTGTCCAAAACAGAATCTCATGAGACCGAGCAATTCTTCTGTAGTAGACAGGTTATCTACTACAAGTATCATTTCATTAATGTGATTAATTAATCCCTCAATGCTACATCATATATCAAAATCATTTTAATCAAATAGTGGTACCTCGGTACTCACAGAACGATCACCTTATTAAATCCAAAAGCTGAAACTATCTTATAAACGTGAATTTACACCTTTCTCTCAATTTCCAGAATTCACTGTTTAAAAAACAATGTTTTTGGCTACATTTAGGGGCCTGCATCAGGTTAAGCAGATTCTATATCAAACGTCTACAGCAGGTTCAAAGTTGTTTTGTTCAAAGTTATAGCAAGTTCAAAGTTGTTTTGGATAAGAATATTCTTATCCAAAACAAATATATAGGCATTTTTTGCAACTTTTAGCAATAATAATTTTGTATGATAACATCCATTAACTTGATGTTTGACCTTATATTTATTGGTCTAATAAATAATCCAAAACAAAGTAATTTGGCTGGAGGTACACAGTTAGGCTACCATCTCATAATAAATTTAGTAATTATAAGTAAATTAATTTAGAATACTTTTTTATTATTAAATTTATCATGAAATGATGGCCTAACCCTATCTCCACCCAAATTAGTTATTCGGTTTATTAATTACATAATATTTGATATTTCATTGGGCTATTTTAAAGCCCAATCAAATATTTTGCAGATTGTTTGGCAATAAGAATTTTGCTAATGCTATCTGTTTTCAATGCATCAGCAGAACATCTTTTTTCACCTGAAGCTCATGAAGAATTATTTGCAAGCAAACATGAAATCATAATTTTTTGATAGATGATTACTGTAACTTCACAACTTTAAAATATAAAACTCATACTATATAAACAGGAATAAAGAAGCAAGCATTGATTGATTTTGTTGATTAAAAGAACCACATGATCCCTTCTCAACCAACTTCTTCATCCCAAATTTGTAACGGATAAGACGCATCCATTTCAAAACAAATATGTCACACTAACCTTATATAGCAGTGTTTTTCAACCGGGGTGCCGCGGCACCTTAGGGTGCCATGGCGCTGCGATTGGGTGTCGCAAAGTTTAGCATTTTTCCAAGAAAATGCCTTCAGGCATTTTCTTGGAAATTTACTTACGTGTAGTTCAAGATAACTCATTGTCAGTTCTATTTTGCTAAGAGATATCTAGTAAGCAAAGAAACTATGACTAATCGCATGTTAATGTAACGTTCTATGCTACGTGTACGCGCGACTTGTCACGAGTTCGCCCAAACCGCATTGCTCGGCCTTCACGTTCCAAGTCCCAGTACCAGGCCAACCACCAGAGAAGAACGACACGGACACTCGCGTCTTGTATATGCTTTAAAAAGCGTTGCATTGTACTTCGAAAAGTGTGCGCTTTCAATCACAAAGTAGGTGCATATTACAGTATTTTCGTAGTATTCAAAAGCAATGATGACAAATAAACAATTTTTTATCAATTTTTTAATTTAAATTTTTTAAATTGATATGAAAAAGATAAGAAAAAAATAATGAAATATTNTAACTAAAAATGAGTTTTGACTGTAACATATATATATATAAAAAAAAAAAAAACATAAATCTTAATAACAAGTAAAATAATCATTAAGTCTGACCTACTGGAGATATACAAGACCCCCAAAATTTAATCAAATAAATCCTCCTCATATACAAACCACCTTGCCAAATTTTGTTACACAATCTTTGATTATTTATTTAATTAGCATGGAATATTATGATACCAACTCCATCCTAAGATATTAAGTGAAATAGATGCCAATACAAGAAAAAAAAATTCTGTGTGACTTTTTTGGATTCAGGACATCTCAAAAAGTGGATATTTGCAAAAAACTCGAAGAGTCAGATTTGACACAATTCCAATACTTACTTATCCTTGTTATGTATACATAATAGCCAAGAAAGTAAAATTGAATGTCAAGCATTATATCAAAAATAAACCAACAAAATGGAAAATCAAAGTGTTTCTTCTTTGTGGAAAATCTGGTATTATAACATAGTCTTCAAAAGGTGGAACGTACCAAAATTAAAACTATACACCATACATACCATTTCCAGCAAATATTATGTATTGGAATTAAATAAAAACCAACATTTTTGGCCTCTTTCAGGGGGTGCATCCAGCATCTATGGTTACAGATAAAGAACATTATAGATTCTAAATTTAGGACGTTTTTTAAAAATACAGTTGACACCCCTATAACGCGGTAGATATGTTCCACTTCATAAGAATTTCATGTTGTAGGGATCCTTAAATACATGAGCCAATCACAGCCAGCACGTGTGCAGTTTATAGACTATGGCTGTTTGAAAGGTTTTCTTCCATAAAATTAATCGATTCTAGACTAATTTCACTCAATATTTCCAAAACACACAATTTTTTGGGAATAATCCGTATAAACTATGCTATAAACAAAAAATTGTAGGATTACTTACAGCGTGTGCACCGTTCGACAATGCCATTGCTTAAGCTTGTTTTCATCGTGGAGCAGCACACCAAACAGCGGGTGCATTTTCTGATAAGTTATTTTTCTTCATCGAAAAATTCATTGAACTTTGGAGACATCATTAATAGAAATAATTTTTATGGCCGTTGAATAAGAAATGTTTTTTTCACAAGAAATGTATAAAATTACAGTACTGTATTAGACTTACAGTACCTAATTTATATACTGTACAGATGAGAGTAAACTCAACTTACCCGCCTAAACTCTCCATAGCAGGTAAGTAGTTCAGCTGCTCATCCACTATTGGTCCAGATTCGACCAATCCTGTCATGACACGAGTCAGTGATGACATTTTACGAGCCTCTTTTAACGTCTTTATATGAATACGGTCACAATTTTTTTGTCGCGATATACAAATCCGCATTATATGAACCCGTGTTATAGGGGAGTTGACTGTATGTTCTTTTTGATGTCAACTCGTTTTTGAATGTTTAACACTTATGTGATATATTTTACATATACTCTCTAATTATTATTATTATACAATAAAAATAAAACAAAATTATTATATGAGAAGAAGATAAATGTGCATATTACCGTAACTTAGTTATCTACAGTACCTTCTTGCTGTAATATTGTTTATTTGCTTTCCTTTAGAGGATTATCAATCACAAAGACTTTCAGTTTTGCCTTATCTAGGATTAGTTTTTGAAAGTCTTCAGCATTCAAAAATTAAGAACCTTGGAAGCCTGGGAGATTTTCAATGCAGCAATCAATGGGAATTGCATTGATAGTAAAGATTCTAAGACAATATCCACTGCATGGTAGTTGTCAGTTGATAACCCTCTAAAGCAGGGGTGTCCAACCTTTTTGTTTCTCTCGGCCGCATTGCAAGATGTTATGGAGTTTTGGGCCACAAGTATATTATATATACTTGTGGCCCAATCCTTAAATATACTTGTATATTTAAGGATTAACATGTCTAGATTATAGTAATAAGTATTAAATCTTTATCAGGAAAAAAGGATATTTTAAAAAATTACTTCTACAGACACTTTCAATTTTTACTTAGAAATATATAAATTCATTTATTATAAAGGAGACAGACAAAAATTTATTTGAAAAACACAAATATTTGTTTTATTTGGGTCTCTAATTAATAAAAAGCGACGAANAAAGTGTGCGCTTTCAATCACAAAGTAGGTGCATATTACAGTATTTTCATAGTATTCAAAAGCAATGATGACAAATAAACAATTTTTTATCAATTTTTTAATTTAAATTTTTTAAATTGATATGAAAAAGATAAGAAAAAAATAATGAAATATTTATTTTATATATGCATCAAAATAGTATAAAAAACGTGACAAAAACTGTTCATCAATAAAATGAGAATATAAAATGATGATATATTTGATAATAAAACTATATTTAAAAAACAATAGCGAGCCTATTGTTTTACATGTAGATATTTCGACAAAATTCAATGAACTTAAATTTTGATTTTAAACACGTAGAAACACTTTTGCATTGCGCGTAATATTCGTTTTCGCAAAAAATTTATCTGGCCCATAGTCCCCCCTTATTCGGATTCTAGATCCACCGCTGGTCAAGGGTGTCACGATTTGTTATTTTTCAATTAGGTGTGCCACTCAATGAAAAAGGTTGAAAAACACTGTTATATAGCTTTGCAGTTAATTTTTGAAACGTTAGTGTTACATTTCAAAAATTAACTGCAAAGCTATATAAGGTTAGTGCGACATATTTGTATTTATTATTGCTTTGTTCATTGGATGGATTCCATTTCAAAACACTTTGATAACAGGTCCTGAAAATGCAGGTGATCAACTTCTGGCAATTCTTATCTATTATAAACAAGTGAATACTTCAATGAACTCAAGACAGTGCAAAAATATTTTGCTCCTTTTCCAAGAATTTTTTTGTTCCACACAATTACTGTCAAGAAATGTCCTATGGCAATGGCCAGGCCTCTTAATGCCATGTGCAAAATGCAGGTGACTGGGAGTACAAATAAAAATAAATCAGTATCCTCCAATCTGCTTCAAGATGGACATCAGAAAGAAACATCAAGTAGCACAGGCAGAGTGAAGTCCTAAATATATTCCAGTTAACCTGTATCATGAAAACTAGCCATCTAAGACCTCCTCAGTAGTATAGAACAGGGGTCGGCAACCTGTGGCTCACGAGCCACATGCGGCTCTTTGGATGTGAAGCTGCGGCTCTTTAGTTCCATACGCAAATATTATTTATTTTATCGAAAAAAAAAAACATTTAAAAACTGTTCTGAATCGATTAATGAGGATTAGGCACTGATTCTATCTCTCAGCCATTTGTACTCGCTTTTCACCGCACACTTCCCCCCGTGACACGCGTCGTCACTGTTGTCAGTCCGTCGGAAGCTCTCGAATGACGCCGTCGTCGGATGTTTCTATTATCTAATGTAATGTGAAAACACTAGTTATATATGAATAAATAGATATTTTTTCTTATGAATAAATAGATTAGTTTTTTTTATCAAAAAACTTTATTTATGAGAGTACTATTTATTGTTGGCAAGAAAAAATTTTGTGGCTCTTTAAAAACTTTTGAAATTTCGTAAATTGTAATTTTGGCTCTTCCGACTCAAAAGGTTGCCGACCCCTGGTATAGAAGAAAACTCAACAAGCCTTCTGTTTTTAAATTCAGGTACTATGTACTATATAACTTTCATTATTAGGTTTATCACATAATGAGTTCAATATTTCTTGGTTCTCTGAGTTAACATATTATTATATTCACTTTCTAAGTTACTATGTTTGACTTTCCTGCAAAAAAAGAAGCATTCAATTTGTGCATTGAGCAAGCAAGCACTTTTGGTGCTGTTGTCACAGATGGAGCTAATTAATCTCCAAAGGACTCATGCACAATGCTCAACATAGTAGACTTTCAGTGCAGCAATGGCTGACTATACAAGTTTAAAAAGCACCATGAGATTGCAAAAAGGATTATTATTAGAGAAAGCAGATCTGTCAATCTTCAGACCATTGAGGAAGATCAGTAGAAGTTGCAAGGAGCATTGAGAAAGTACAATTTGAGAGATGTATACAATATGGATGAAATTCCATTCTGATGCAACATTTTCTTCTCAAGAAGTAAAGGAATCAAAAAAAAAAAAAAATCTAAGGAAACAATTACCATTGACTTTTGCATAAACATTGATAGGTGGTACATTGATGGTAATTGGAAAACCAAAGAAACCTCAGTTTTTTAAGCATTTAAAACCAGAGCTTTATGTCCATTATTGGTGGAACAAGAAAAGCTGGATGGCATCAACAGAGTTCAATAATTAGCTGACAATATTTAACAATAACATATTTACCATATTTAACAATAAAATGAGGACAGTTTTCCTCATCCTGGACAATGCAATTTGACATACAAATGACAAACTAAGCAATGTATGTTTGTGCTTCTTATCTCCTAATTTTACATAGGAACTGCAACCACTTGATGATGATGTAATCATATCTTTCAAAGCACACTATAAGAATATGCATTTCAAGCTAGTCATACATTAGATCAATGCTGGAGAGTCTGTCAACTGGAATTTGCTTCCTTTTCCAGCAGATAGTTGTATGCATTATAAATGTTTTTGGCATTTTGAGAGGCCTGCTTCAGGTTGTTTTCTTAAAGTTTTGAATCTTTTGAATTTTCAGAGATCTTACATGGAGAGTACAGGACACTTTAAACAGGAGAGTACAGTGCATGCCCAGACTTATATCCAAAAACTTAAAGGAGAAACATTACAATGTTAGTTTTAATAAAGAATATGCCTCAGGCTGAGTCATGTCATCTTATTGAGCATTATTCTTTCTCTTCATTTTAGGGGGTTATCATAAAGATTGCCAAGCTATAGATAATATAACACAGTCATTATGATTAATGCATTCGGCCTTCATTCTTGCTTTAAAAAACTTCAAAATCTCTAATGTTCTCAGAGTGTTCTTCAAATACTGGCCTTATGAGAGTTGTGTTGTCAAACCCCATTGACACCCAACTCACTGGCATATTCTGCTAAGGCAGTACACATTTTATTAGTATCAATGTCAAACTAGTATTCCATAATCCTCTGAACTATGGAACTGTTTGTGAATCCTACATACACCGGTTGGTGATTAAATCTGTTGTCCATTACAAGAATCGAGTAAACACCTGGAATCTTATCCATATCATTTTTATTATTACTGTTACTTAATATTTGGAGACTTGCAGCATTCTGTGTTTATCACTATAGTTATATTTACTCCAGATTGGTTAACTGTTTTGGAATTTGCTTCTTACTAATGCCATTCAATTGATAGAAAATAACTTCAATGACAATTTCCAATTATTGGAAGTTTATTGGACTCACACATCCTGATGTCAGTAAAAATCATTAGCACTCTCATCAGACGTCCAGGAGTTATGAAATTCTTTGGCTATTTGTCCTTTAGTTCACACATATGATATCCTTCAAGAATATCGTATACTACAAGTTAAAGGTTATCATATCCTTCAAGTTGAAGACAAATTATCAGTTTATTGCTAGATGAATCAATGGCATCACTGAATTTGTGCAGGGAGAAACTGAGAATATGCTGAAATAAGATGAGGATGATGATAAAGTTGTTCCTGAAATTCTTTCCACTGTAAAAGTACTGGAGTATCTGGGTGAAATTCGAGGGTTTTAGGAAGCAGAAAAGATGGCAAAAGCTGAGCATGTCAGTCATTACTCACATGCAATGCACATAAGAAAATTACAAGACAAAAAAAAAAAAAAAGGCAAACGCAAACAAAAATTAAGGATTTTTTTTAATCAAGACAGTTAATAAGTCTTCATATAAAGCCGTCTAGCTGCTAAATATAGCTATGATAATTAAAATGATATCCAAGATGATTTTGATGATGATACAATAACAAGTATACAGGTTAATAAGACTTACTGTAATACAAATTAGTTACAAAATAAAAATCTTTTTGCTGATATCTCTAATCTGCCTCCTTTGTATCTGTCGAAAATTCTGAGTGAACAAAGATGAACAGATTATAGAGAATCAACTATATATTCAGTATTATAATAAAAATATTACATTTTTTTTTTTTAATATTTGATATTTAAATAAATTAAGTTAAATGATATAATGTAAAAACTTAAATTAGAATATTTGAAATAAATTCATTTGTAACAAACCTTTCCAATTCTGGAAATCTGTAATACACCATTAAAAGACTAAAAACTGAAGTAATAAAAACAAATATAAGAACTAAAAATGCTTGACTTGTACTTTGAACATTTTCTTTTTTATCTGGAAAAACAAAAATAAAAACATTAACTGAATCAAATTATTCCAATTAAGTATTTGTAAATAAAAAAAAGTATTAGCTAGTTCAAAATTAATGTAGATTTGTATTTACTTATTCTAATATTAATAAGTCACAAAGAGTATAAATGCCACCTCCTTATGGTAACACTGCCTGGTAGCATTTTTATGATATAATCAAACATTCCGTATGAAACTTTAAAAAAGCTTGTCCTCAAATTTAACCATTTTATCATTAAAAAAATAAATAAGTTATGTTGTTTTACATTAAAATTATATTAGCTACCAATAATGATTAATAATAAGAAAATTGCTTTAAAAATAATTTTAAAGAATTTAGAATAAAAATTTAACTATGATAGCATAAAATTTGCAATTCTTTGCTGAATCAATATCTAAACCATAAAAATAATAATAATAAATTATTACATCTATAATTTAAAAAATCTCTAGAAATTTTATGAAAATCAAAATATCCAAGTTTGATTAATTACAAAATACAGTGGACCTTTGTTATAGTGCTGCTTGCTATACCATACACTTGGTTATAGCACGAACGATATTCGCGACACAATAAGCTCAAACACATTTATACAGGTCTGTGCAGCATTAGTGAGTTGCACATTTTATTGTTACTGCATATTGAGTAATTGTGTATGTATTGAGTTCCTGCACATATTTTGAATAGTGTTTAATTATTGTATGCATGATGACTAAAAGAAAAGCTTACAGTGTGAAAGAAAAGCTTGACATTATTGCTAAAGTAAAGAGTGGAGTTTTGAAAGCAAACATAAGAAGAGAATATGGCATATCTGAAGGAACTGTAAGGGTTGGATGACAGAGGAGACAAAACTGAAATCATTCGTTGATAAGCTTGACCAAGATGCTGGGCTTTCTCAAAAAAAGACAAAACTTGGAAAAAATCAAAATGTTGATAATTGCCTCTATGCATGGTTTGTGGAAAAAAGAAGTGAAGGAATTCCCGTATCTGGAACTGCTTTAAAGTTGCAGGCTGAAAAATTTAATGTAAGCTTAAAAGCAGAAGGAATTTTAAGGCTTCTGATGGTTGGTTGTGGTGTTGGCAAAAACGACATGGCATTTTCCAAATTTCCATTTCTGGTGAAGCAAAGTCTATAGTGATATTAAAAATGCTGCAGAATTTTCCAAAAAAGTTCACAATTTCCATTAAGAAAGAAGGGTATACTGATGCACAAGTTTATAACTGTGATAAGACTGCATTATATTACAGAATGTTGCCAAGTAAAACCTTAGATCTAAAAAGTAACCTACAAAAGGGAGATTAAAACTAAGCAAGGAAAGGATAACAGCTTTATTTTGTGTAAATAAAGCTGGTAATCACAAGTTGATGCCACTCATTATAGGTAAAAATCAAAACCCACAATGTTTCAAGTCAATCAATATAAAATCTCTGCCAGTTGTTTATAAAAACAGCATAAACGCTTGGATGACTTCTAACATATTTCATGATTGGTTTCACAATTCCTTTGTTCCCTCTGTGCAAAAATTTCTGAGAGGATTGAGTCTAGATCCAAAAGCTTTGCTTCTCATAGATAATGCACCATTGTCAGACACCAGCTGATAACCTCGTGTCTGACAATGGTAAAATAAAAGTAATGTACCTTCCAAAAAATACTACTGCTCTTACACAACCCTTAGATCAAGGCATTATTAGTGCTTTCAAAATAAATTACCAAAGAGAAATGATGAAATCATTATTAGCATCAGACATTGATGTCAACATATTTTTTAAAAAAATGGATCTCAAAGATGTGTCCTACAGTATTGGACTTGCCTGGCAGGCAATCACATCAGAGACAATTAGAAACTGTTGGAAAAAATTAAATGAATCTAACAATCAAGTTGATCTCAACCAAACCACAACACATTCAGATTCAGCTTCAGATAATATCTTCACTGAGGCTGAAATTTCTCATATCCGGGAAATATTAAATGATCCAGAAATAACTAATGATTTTTTGACTGACTGGTTAGATGTGGATGCTAGAGAAGATATTTGTCAGAATATGACTGATAAAATGATTATCAAATCCATTTGCAGTGACGAAGATTGTCAAGAAGAAACAGAAGATGATGAAGAAAGTGCCAGTGGGATAGCTGATATACCACCAACAACCATATAACAGCCATGGAAACCGTTATAAAACAGGCTGAATCACAAGAAAATATTAACAGTGTCAGATTGTTGCAATTAGCATCTTTCAAAAGGGAAATGATACAGAAGTTATCAAAAACCAAACAAACAAAAATTACTCACTTTTTTAAGGGATATTTTGTAATTGAAATGTCAAATACATAGATTTTAGTCAAGTTATAGATAGTGTTTGTTTTTACATACAGTACTGTATTTTAAAGCAAACTTTATGTACGTAAATAAAATAAAACTGTACATATACAGTATATACTTATTAAGATGTATAACTATGTTATGTGAATTTTAATAAAACACTTAATAAATAAATTGCTTTTTTTATTAAAATACATAATATGTATGTAGTTGATGGGATGTTTCAGTATATAGCTCAAATCGTTCTGAGTAAATTTATTGTGTCACCACCGCACCGCTTGGTATAATGCAGTTCACCTTATAAAAAATGAAAACAAAACAGAAAATTAAAAAAATACAGTCGACCCCCTATAACTCGGTAGATATGTTCCACTTTATAAGAATTTCACATTGTAGGAATCCTTAAATACATGAGCCAATCACAGCCCGGCACATATGCCATTTATGGACTACGGCTGTTTGAATGGTTTTCTTCCATAAAATTAATCGATTCTATACTAATTTGACTCTACATTTCCAAAACACATAATTTTTTGGGAATAATCCATATAAACTATGCTATAAACAAAAAAGGTGTAGCATTACTTATCGAGTGTGCACCGTTTGACGACACCATTGCTTAAGCTCGTTTTCGTCATGGAGCGATGCATCGTACAGTGTTTCCTGATAAATTATTTTTCTGCAAAAAATTTGTTGAACTTTGGAGACATCATTAATATAAATATAATTTTTATGGCTGTTAAATAATAAATGTTTTTCAGTAGGTCCAGTGCTTGTTTAATTTATTTGTTCCATTTTTTGAAAAGTTAAGCACGAAAAACAAATCATTGTCGTCAAATCTTAACTTGGCAAATTTTGTCATAGAATGTTACAGTATTACCAGAAACTTGATGTCATGTTAATAAAATTGCCAAATTCAATACAATGCCAAATTAATAAATATATACTTACTGTTTTGCATACATTAGAATTAAGGTACATTAATGCCAGAAGACAGTACGTGGGTATTTATTAAATGCAATGTTTATCAAACCACGATCTACAGACTCTTCAGAGTTCAAAGGGAGGCAAATTGCATGTTAGGAAATACATCATCACTGCTCTATTGTGCAGTACCTGAAAAGTTCAGTTTTCAACAAGAAGAAAGTTAAGAGAAAATACATCGGAGATGTGATGTGGCCAAGACAAACAATGTCCAAAGGTAGTCATGCAACCAAACAACATTGAAGCAAGGTCAGGGAACACTTTCGTACTCATCCGCCATCTAACGCATTGCTCCACGAGAAAAATGGGCGTCTCCAAAAGCGCATGCTCGGCAAATAGTCTGCAATTTTTTGTTTACAGCACTTTTTAAATGGGTCACCTCCAAAAACTTCTGTGTGCTTCAGAATTATCTATCAAATACATCTCTGTTAAAAAGTTAAAAGAAAGTACGTACATAATGGACTGCTTCTATAGAGTGTATTCAAAATCTCAGCATCAATCCAGCGAGATGCTGCCAGAAGTGACGCAACTGCTGGTGTTTTCTAGAGAACACAAACACTGACTGCTGGGAATTTCGGGAGAGAAAAATAATAAAAATGGCAAATGACGTGGACTTCCATGTTACGTTAAATGATTTTTGAACTTCTTTAATTAGAACAGATTAATAAAAAATAAAAATTTCAAAAAGAGAAATAGAGATAAAGATATTTTAAATTTCCTAATTANTTATTAAAATTCATAAAATAAAGAACTGTACTTAACAATCTTTCATTGAACACAAGAAATAAATTTTAGTCTTCTTCACTACTATCTTCCAAACAACATTTCACTGATATTCTTTATTTGCCATTGTCCAGATGTCTTCATTGCATGAAATCTTTTGGACATTGCTATAACTTTCAACTTCTTCAGATTCTTCTGCTAGTTTAGTTTCCAAGAAGTCAATTATGATAGTCTGATGAGTGCTTTGTTACAATTGTTTTTGAAGATCATTGTGTGATGCTAAGCAAGATTGCCATGAAAAATAAAAAGCTTTTCATCATTTAGAGAAAACCTTTCACCATATAGGGAAAAATGCACAATCTATATTAGCAAACTATACTGTAGTAACTGAAAGAACATTTACTAAAATAAAGATAAACAGATGATTTTATATGAACTTTTATATTGAAATCACAATGTATAAGTACCATGTTATACAAGGATTGCTACAATTTGTGAATTGCATTATATAAGTAGTGCATTTTACAAGGGTTGTCTGTATTACCAATATCATTAATTTTTATGTATTGGTACACAGGGCTTTGGAGCAGAGCTGGAGCATGGAGCAATGGAGCAATGGATTTTTACTCGGAGCAGGAGCGGAGCCGGAGCACGGAAATTTGTAATGCTCCACTGCTCATATATATATAGAAGCAGTGGAGCACTACAAACTTCCGTAAAAGTAAATAAACATATATTTATTTAATATTTGAGACAGTGAAAATGGAAGTGGCATAAGTTGTAATATTACAAATGTCTCATGTGAAAGGTGGGAACTTTTCTCTCTAGTCTCCACTATCCCCTGACCAAGCTATTCCTTCCCCTTCGTGATCCCCCAGTTCTCTGAATTCTTGATGATTGCAGATGTGGAGTTAAAGCTAGATGCTGCAGCTTGTGGAAATAGAAATTTTCTTGCCATCAATGTACAGTAAAACCTGTTAAGATGTTCTCGTCTACGATGTTAGAATGTGTATGGGGACATGATTTAGTTCAACCACTCTGACGCTTAATAACTAATTCCTGTGTTAAATCATCTGACTCCGAATCTAATCACTCTGACCACAGAAATTATTAGGCTTTAAACAGGATGAACAAAATCATGCCCCCCCACACAGTCTAACATCCACACATATAGAAAAAAAACCTTGAATCTTTTGCATATCTCGAAATTTCAAGGTGTCCCGCGTCCAAAAACAAAAATTTGGGAGGGGTCATTTTTTGAGCAAGCATTACACTTTTCCTCTGTTATATATAACAGCCAGAAAAGTAAAAATTATCGAATACATATTTATATATTGACTGTGTCATTACTTAGAGGAGTCTTTTAGCTTTGGAGTAAAAAGTTTCTACGTTCTATCTTTATTAGAACTCTATTTATTGAAACTTTTATTCTGAGGTTACATGATGACATCAGAATTTTCGGGTCTCTTTCAACAAGTCTGCCCCTGGTCGGAGTCGGATGGTAAGGAAAAGTCAGAGTCGGAGTTGGTAGATTTTTACGCGACTCCACAGCCCTGGATATTTGTTTATGTAAATTTTATATTAAATTAATTTATTTTATTAGTTTAATTTGTAATTTTATTATTATATTTGTAATTTACTTTTATCAATCATTAAATTTACTGTAATTTATTTTATCAAAAATATAATTAAATAATCTAAATATATATTATTTGCATATTTTAAAAACTCATGCATAAAATAACTATCATTTTATCAAATATAAAATTATTATTAAATAACTTTTTATAAATTTAACAGTTTAAGGATACAAAATATACATCACAAAATATCCTCCTAGAACTGTAAAAAAATAGCGATCCTTGTAATGTGACAAAACCTTTCCTAAATTCTTAGCATCATCAATATTCTGTGGTAATTTCATATATTGAATCTCATCACTAACAAAAAAAAAATTTTTAATTAATTAATATAAAACTAAGAATTAAGACATTAAATAAATAAAATACCAGTTTCAATACACATATACAGTCAAACCTGTCCAAAACAGAATCTCATGAGACCGAGCAATTCTTCTGTAGTAGACAGGTTATCTACTACAAGTATCATTTCATTAATGTGATTAATTAATCCCTCAATGCTACATCATATATCAAAATCATTTTAATCAAATAGTGGTACCTCGGTACTCACAGAACGATCACCTTATTAAATCCAAAAGCTGAAACTATCTTATAAACGTGAATTTACACCTTTCTCTCAATTTCCAGAATTCACTGTTTAAAAAACAATGTTTTTGGCTACATTTAGGGGCCTGCATCAGGTTAAGCAGATTCTATATCAAACGTCTACAGCAGGTTCAAAGTTGTTTTGTTCAAAGTTATAGCAAGTTCAAAGTTGTTTTGGATAAGAATATTCTTATCCAAAACAAATATATAGGCATTTTTTCCAACTTTTAGCAATAATAATTTTGTATGATAACATCCATTAACTTGATGTTTGACCTTATATTTATTGGTCTAATAAATAATCCAAAACAAAGTAATTTGGCTGGAGGTACACAGTTAGGCTACCATCTCATAATAAATTTAGTAATTATAAATAAATTAATTTAGAATACTTTTTTATTATTAAATTTATCATGAAATGATGGCCTAACCCTATCTCCACCCAAATTAGTTATTCGGTTTATTAATTACATAATATTTGATATTTCATTGGGCTATTTTAAAGCCCAATCAAATATTTTGCAGATTGTTTGGCAATAAGAATTTTGCTAATGCTATCTGTTTTCAATGCATCAGCAGAACATCTTTTTTCACCTGAAGCTCATGAAGAATTATTTGCAAGCAAACATGAAATCATAATTTTTTGATAGATGATTACTGTAACTTCACAACTTTAAAATATAAAACTCATACTATATAAACAGGAATAAAGAAGCAAGCATTGATTAATTTTGTTGATTAAAAGAACCACATGATCCCTTCTCAACCAACTTCTTCATCCCAAATTTGTAACGGATAAGACGCATCCATTTCAAAACAAATATGTCACACTAACCTTATATAGCAGTGTTTTTCAACCGGGGTGCCGCGGCACCTTAGGGTGCCATGGCGCTGCGATTGGGTGTCGCAAAGTTTAGCATTTTTCCAAGAAAATGCCTTCAGGCATTTTCTTGGAAATTTACTTACGTGTAGTTCAAGATAACTCATTGTCAGTTCTATTTTGCTAAGAGATATCTAGTAAGCAAAGAAACTATGACTAATCGCATGTTAATGTAACGTTCTATGCTACGTGTACGCGCGACTTGTCACGAGTTCGCCCAAACCGCATTGCTCGGCCTTCACGTTCCAAGTCCCAGTACCAGGCCAACCACCAGAGAAGAACGACACGGACACTCGCGTCTTGTATATGCTTTAAAAAGCGTTGCATTGTACTTCGAAAAGTGTGCGCTTTCAATCACAAAGTAGGTGCATATTACAGTATTTTCGTAGTATTCAAAAGCAATGATGACAAATAAACAATTTTTTATCAATTTTTTAATTTAAATTTTTTAAATTGATATGAAAAAGATAAGAAAAAAATAATGAAATATTTATTTTATATATGCATCAAAATAGTATAAAAAACGTGACAAAAACTGTTCATCAATAAAATGAGAATATAAAATGATGATATATTTGATAATAAAACTATATTTAAAAAACAATAGCGAGCCTATTGTTTTACATGTAGATATTTCGACAAAATTCAATGAACTTAAATTTTGATTTTAAACACGTAGAAACACTTTTGCATTGCGCGTAATATTCGTTTTCGCAAAAAATTTATCTGGCCCATAGTCCCCCCTTATTCGGATTCTAGATCCACCGCTGGTCAAGGGTGTCACGATTTGTTATTTTTCAATTAGGTGTGCCACTCAATGAAAAAGGTTGAAAAACACTGTTATATAGCTTTGCAGTTAATTTTTGAAACGTTAGTGTTACATTTCAAAAATTAACTGCAAAGCTATATAAGGTTAGTGCGACATATTTGTATTTATTATTGCTTTGTTCATTGGATGGATTCCATTTCAAAACACTTTGATAACAGGTCCTGAAAATGCAGGTGATCAACTTCTGGCAATTCTTATCTATTATAAACAAGTGAATACTTCAATGAACTCAAGACAGTGCAAAAATATTTTGCTCCTTTTCCAAGAATTTTTTTGTTCCACACAATTACTGTCAAGAAATGTCCTATGGCAATGGCCAGGCCTCTTAATGCCATGTGCAAAATGCAGGTGACTGGGAGTACAAATAAAAATAAATCAGTATCCTCCAATCTGCTTCAAGATGGACATCAGAAAGAAACATCAAGTAGCACAGGCAGAGTGAAGTCCTAAATATATTCCAGTTAACCTGTATCATGAAAACTAGCCATCTAAGACCTCCTCAGTAGTATAGAACAGGGGTCGGCAACCTGTGGCTCACGAGCCACATGCGGCTCTTTGGATGTGAAGCTGCGGCTCTTTAGTTCCATACGCAAATATTATTTATTTTATCGAAAAAAAAAAAATTTAAAAACTGTTCTGAATCGATTA